GTGGGTGTGGTGTGTGGGCGTGCGTGCGTGCAGTGCGTGCGTGCGTGCGTGCGTGCGTGCGTGCGTGCGTGCGTGGTTGTGTGCGTGGTGAGTGCGTTGCGTGCGTTGCGTGCGTTTGCGGCTGTGCGTGCGTGCGTGCGTTGCGGCTGGCGGCGTGCGTGCGTGCGATGCGTGCGTGCGTGCGTGCGTGCGTGGTGCGTGCGTGCGTGCGTGCGTGCGTGCGTGCGTGCGTGCGTGCGTGCGTGCGTGCGTGCGTGCGTGCGTGCGTGCGTGCGTGCGTGCCGTGCGTGCGTGCGTGCGTGCGTGCGTGCGTGCGTGCGTTGCGTGCTGTGGTGTGTGTGTGTGTGTGTGTGTGTGTGTTGTGTGTGTGTAGGCACAAATTATCTCGAAAACAGACACTATTGCTCAAGATTGCAGGCGAGTTTCAGTTTGTTTGGGTGCTCACGCCAATATTCAGAGCAGGAGCACCTCAGAGGCTCTGTCGAGTTGTTTGTTGTCAGTCGTCAGTAGTTGTTATAAACAAGTCACAACTACAGTCATCGCAAAGTTACCCCCGTGTTGTCCGTGGACTGCAGAAGACGAGCCGCTCCGGGCGGCCAGAAATGAACAGCAGTCTGAGTCCACTTAAACACAGAATGAAATCCGCCGGTTTACTGGCTACTGGACCAGCATCAGGACGATGTTTCCCAGATGTATTGCGATACGGACCAGCGCGAGCAGTCGGAGAAAGTGTGACGAAAACATCCTAAGGAGGTCCTCTGAACCCATTAATAAACTAACAGGTCTCCCACATTTCTTTGCGTTGTGAGTGATGGTATGCCATCAGCCATCTTCATCTTCAGTTCGTTGCGCGTCATTATGCTCCACACGAGGAGTAACAGTGATGGAGCATCACCATGTGCACAGCATTAAAAAAGCTGTCATGGCCTGATAAGTGTCTTTGCCCAGGGGTATTTTCAGTCTGTTTTGGAGCGTTATGCACATTTTGGAGGACTTGATGAGTTGGGTGCATGCATGGGCACTCATCCGGATAGTTGACGGATTGTGTTGGACACGGGCTTTTGGGACGACGGAGGGTGTAGACACGGGCTTAAGTAAGGCGTTTACGAAACTTCAAGAGATACTTCAACGCATCTTACACGATGTTGCTGCTTGCGCTTCGTTTAGCGATAACCAGCTATATCCATACGTCTTTTGCGATTTGAATGACAGAAGTGATGTTGAATGCGCGCTTCCCTGAGATGTCTTGATAATTTATAACTTAAGTAAAAAAACAACCGTTAACGGTGGTGTGTGTGTGTGTGTGCTACAACTGATTAAAAAATAGCTGTGTATAGGTACAGGCCCTCGTGTTTAGGTATTTAAGCGGTTGGATTGGATAGCGCAATTCTTGCCCGGCAAGGTTTTTAGTGCATTCACCATGTGTTTCCGAGTGCAAACTCAAGACAACACGCCTCTTTTTCTGTTTGGTCTGTGGCACTCGAAAAACCTACATAGGAACGACACACAGGTCATCTTCGCAACACCGGAACAAACTGACACGCACTCTGGCATGCGATCCAGGACGTCCTTTGACACCCACTCTGGCAGGCGACCCGGGCAGTCCTCTGACACCCACTCTGGCAGGCGACCCGGGCCGTCCTCTGACACCCACTCTGGCAGGCGACCCGGGCCGTCCTCTGACACCCACTCTGGCAGGCGATCCGGGCCGTCCTCTGACACCCACCCTGGCAGGCGACCCGGGCCGTCCTCTGGCACCCACTCTGGCAGGCGACCCGGGCCGTCCTCTGACACCCACTCTGGCAGGCGACCCGGGCCGTCCTCTGACACCCACTCTGGCAGGCGACCCGGACAGTCCTCTGCCATCACGACGTGAGCCGGCGGCGTCCGGCCCCGGTGTGGGTGGATCGCTGCAGCCGGGCCCAGGCAAACAGTCGCCGTTGGTCGATACACCCCCCCCCCCCCCCTTTACACCACCACTCGGCTCACATGTGCTCGTCGGGGATGCCGACGCGTAGCAGGTCGTTTTTGTTCTCGCAGTCTTTGCCCGACTGGAAGTCCGAGCAGTACATGGGCCGGTGGCCATACACCACCAGCCAAGGGTGTGCCGCGCGCGCCGCCGGTGTGCTGGCCTCCTGTAGCGTCGCCGGGTCAGCGGCAGACGGGTGCCGGGTCAGCGACAGACGGGTGCCGGGTCAGCGGCATACAGGTGCCGGGTCAGCGGCATACAGGTGCCGGGTCAGCGGCAGACGGGTACCGGTCAGTGGCAGACGGGTGCCGGGTCAGCGGCAGACGGGTGCCGGGTCAGCGGCAGACGGGTGCCGGGTCAGCGGCAGACGGGTGCCGAGTCAGCGGCAGACGGGTGCCGGGTCAGCGGCAGACGGGTGCCGGGTTAGCGGCAGACGGGTACCGGTCAGCGGCAGACGGGTACCGGTCAGTGGCAGACAGGTGCCGGGTCAGCGGCAGACGGATCCGAGTCAACGACAGACGGGTGCCAGGACAGCGACAGACAGGTGCCGGGTCAACAACAGACGGGTGCCAGGTCAGCAGCGGACGGGCTCGCTGACCGAACAGCCCGGCGCGCTCGCTCAGACGAAAAAGGGTGGTGCGTTGTTCACGGGCCCTAGGGATTTTACAACTAGGGATTTTACGGACCGAATTTTGCAGGATTTGTTATGCATTCGTAGAATCTGAAATGGAGCTCGCGCATAAGTTTAAACAAATCTAAACCAATCGGTTTAAGCCCGTCACGAACAAAATCGTATAGAGTATGCTACTAAGAACTGCAAATTAGCTTGCACCTGGCCAATTCCCTTCATTTCATCCGTGCCGGTCGTTTCAAAGCCCCCCCATTTCAATCCTAGTCCGCGTCGATTGGAGCCTTTCAAATACAGCCAAGGCAACTCAGTTGACTTACACAATCTGTAGAAAGGCTTCTAAGCCACATCGTAGCAAGCCTCGTCATAGGTAACTTGAAATAGTTCTACCTAAATGCGTTTAGGTGTCTTATTTTGCTGTCTGCAAGCAAAGCAGGCGCTCCGTAACACCGAGGTGTCTACATTAGGCGTCATGCAGGAGATCGGAAAGCAACCTTCGGAATCGCCGCTAGATCTGGTAGTTGTACCTTACATGAAACACCATAGCAGAGCACGCGACCGAATATAAGTATTGCAGAATGAGTGCCTTGTCCCTCTTCTTCCCTCTCCCCCCCCCCCCCCCCCCGGGTGAAATTCGGAAAGAATATTTGACTCACCATCACGTAGTACCTACCTTGAGCACGTTTTCGAGCCAGCTGTGCTGATTGATGGCCATATGTGTGCCATACTCGAGGTAGTAGTAGAACTCTGAGCAGATCGCTACAAAGCGCACCGGGCCCATGTCGAAGGTGTAGAACATGTTCTCCGCGCTCCCCGGCATGGTGAATCGGTTCTTGTACTCAGAGAAGTTGCTGCCGGTTGGGAAAGAAAGCATTTCAGCGGGAAAAATCAGCCTTTGTGAGAAGCGCACGGTCGCATTTACAATGCAGCTTTGTGCTGTTCGCATTCATTTTATACGTGTTTGGTTGATTTTCAGAGCATTGTTGGGTGCGTTCTGAGGTTCACCAAATTCATAACTGCCATGACATTGAACAGGCCTGAAGTGTGCAATTATAGCATATATATATATATATATATATATATATATATATATATATATATATATATCCTACAATGTCAAGAATGTTATGCAAACCGGACGGGAGGAGCCCAAGCCAAGTACATGCCATAACCACAAACATAAAACACCAAATCGAGGCAAAAGATGGGCAGTGACATGCTAGAAAAATATAATAAATGATAGTTTTTTCCAATTTCACGCAACTGTCCTGTGTTCCGAGCTGAATCAAGTGCCGAACTCCTCAGCCACTGACGGTGGCAGGCAACACATATGGCTTAAACTCGTGCCACGTGCCGTGCCACATGACGTGTCACAGGTCGTGTCACATGCCGTGTCACAGGCCGCTCACCTGTGCTTCTCGTGGTTGCCGGCCACTGTCATGTAGGGCACGTGACCGGCCACTGGTTCGACGCCACGCATGAACTCGTCCCCGACCTTTCCGTCGTCGTCGTCCATGTCGTAGGCAAAGTCACCGATGTGAAGCACGGCGTCGTACATGCCCTGTTCCGTGTCCAGCTGCAGCCTGGCAGAGCAGCGCAGCAGTTGTTGGCGAGTCACGTGATTTCGTTCCACTAAAGGTGCAGTTGTTGGGCTTTGCTCAGAAATCACAAAGCTGTTCGGATCTGTGCAGGGCGGCTTCTTGACTGCGTTGCGCAACGCACGCGCATAACATTATTTAGCATGCGATGTCACGATGGCGCATGTACACATTGGTATAACATTCGCATGCAAATAACGCTTTCAGTGTACATTATCATTCAATGATGTGCGCGATGGTCAATATCAGCACTTTAACAATTTATGGATTGTTTCACCACAAAACATCACTCTGTACGTCGCGCTTATGGCTTGTGACTGGGCTGAAATAAGATTGTTCGAAACCACCCGATCCACTGTCCCCGCAGTCGTTTCTCTTCTAGAAGTCACATGCACAACACTTCCAGCTCTACACCTTTCGCAGCTTATCTGGAACAGCTACACCGGGGAGGAATTCTGGGACTGGAGCGTTCCAAGCCAGAGATGGTTTCTGTCAATGCGCCTGTGCCTGACGCAGCTGTAAGCGCAGGACTCGCTATTCTGCTTATTTTCGCCATGTCAACAAACAAACATCTTCAGAGGGTATCGTGTCCGTTTCACATTCCGACAGCAGCTAAGGCATGAAGGGACCCGCCGCACAGCTCCACGCGCAGGCCAAGGGCAGCTGGCGCAGGCAACGCCCGCGGCGCGGCCGGCGGCCGGCGGTCAGCTGACCTCTCCAGGGCGCGGCCGTTCTCGAGGGCCAGGTCGCCGTAAACGGCCAGCCTGGGACTCCAGTCAGAGCCGCTCTGTATGGCCGTCAAGGTCTTCAGGTCGGACCAGCCCTGACTGCTGCCGACCACATATTCTGCGCAACGAGCACGGACGGGTCAGATGCCCCGGACCCCGAGAGCTGGTGTTCAGATATGGTGCTCAAACGATCTTTTGGCCAGTGCTGACCTCGCAGTATCATGAAGAGCACAGACATGGCCAACCAGGGCTTTGATCGTCCGCTGACCAACTAGGCGTCGTCCCTGACAGAGATGAATCCGTCAACCAATAACCAGTGCACCAGGGACAACGGCAAACAACGTGACTGAGGTTACTGCGGTCCTCGCTAGGTGTCAGGCCGGTGAGGTGAGCCAGCTGGTTGTGATCTCAGTCAGCTGATGTGACGGATAACGTGGGAGAGTGTGGCGAGGCAGCTTACCGTACGTCCCGCCAGGTGTCAGGTTGGTGATGATCGCACGGTGGACGTACTCGTCCCGGTCGCCCGTGGAGAATTTGGCGGCACTTCCGTCGACTGAGAGGTCCAACTGGCCCTGGCCGTACCGCACTGTGCTGCCCACGTTTTCCTTGGTCATCCAGGTCACCGTCATGGAGGTGGGGTCGCCTGCGAAGTGAACAGGTCATGATGCTGGAAATTCCTGATGACAGTCGATCTACACGCGAGAGCAGTTTGACTTCTTTGTAGCAGCGAGCAATTGCTGGACGGCATCTATCGGATATATATACATTATATATATATTATTTCCCTATGCGTTTCACAGCACGACGGATGCATTCATTTCCATGTAACACCCCAGCTTACGAGGCAACTTTTCGATCTTAGGTAGGACTTTTTCCACCCTTGATTTGGATATCTTGGAATCGTTTAGTTTGGATATCATTTATCGCCAAAGAACATGACATTGTCGTACCCGGTATAAGTGGTGATGAAATAAAATAGATCTGTAGTTGTGGAAGCCGGTCGTGTGCCATTGTGTGTACTTCCGTTTTTTTTCTGAAGAAAAAAATTTCTTCGCCGCCGCCGTGCTGCGAAGCGCGTCGCGAGTCGAAATGGCATGTGCCTCAAATGTCTCTGATCAAGACATTGGATCACATTGTACTGCATAATGAGCAACCAAACCGTGTATCCATGTAAATAAAGGTATGTCTATATATATATATATATATATATATATATATATATATATACATATATATATATATATATATATATAGATAGATAGATAGATAGATAGATAGATAGATAGATAGATAGATAGATAGATAGATAGATAGATAGATTAATAGATATCAGAAAACAATTCAATTGATTTGTTGTTATTGAACAAGAGCCTTCGGGACATTTTATATCGCTTCTTTAGCCTTCGCCAGACAACACCAAAAACAGATTCGGGTATGCATTAACACGCGCTCTGTGGGGTCAACTTGACCCCCCCCCCTCAGAGGTTTTTCCGGAATGGTTTCTGAATGGTGCGGCGTAGCCGCGCCAATTATTGCATAGCAGTAGACAATTAGATTGCGGATCGCTCGGTATAACAAATTTTGATGTACCTAGCAAGGTCGCTGATTTACAGCAGTTCAAAGTCAGGCCATGGATTCAGCGAAGTCGATTTCTAGGGAATCGTTCAATCTGATAGAACAGCAGAGTGTTAGACAAAGCCATAGATTTCTGAGATACTTTCTCAGGCAACGCAGCAAATGAATGAGCAAATTAAATTGACCTAAAGTCAGTTTTGAAGGTTAGACCAAGGTCAAAATCAATGTGTTTTATTACTCCACGGTTTGCTATGTGGGGTAGCTTTCGGTGCTCATTTCAAATTCATTGATAGCCGTATCATACATCTTCCATGATATTTTGTTTTAGGAACATCCTGTCTAACGTATCCTTTGTCGTTTATTCAATTACAAAACCCAATGCAGTCTTTTATGATTTTGGACACCATGACCATAGAAATGTCAAACAAGGTCGCTGACCTTAAATGACCATGTGACCCTTTGCTTACAGGAGGTATCTAGGTTTTGGGAGCACTTTGGAGACCAACCAGGAGATTGACATTGTTTGACCTTATTTAACCCGTGGGTCATGACCTTTGAACCTTAAATTTTGACCTGAGTGATTTCAGGTACAGGCCAACACACCCCGTAAATTTAGTGTCTCTAGCCCTGTTAGTTCCTGAGATCCCGGAGGCGGTCAAATTGCCCCCCCCCCCCCCCCACACACACACACACGAGCGAGCGTGTTAACTCCCGACGCGTTTTCACAGACAACGGCCGCATCATCGGGCAAAAAAGACACACGTAGTGTACACTGTGATGGTTTGATAATTACACGAGGATATGTAATGACACCCAACTAACCACAAATCCATAAATATATGTTATTTTGTACAACTTCCAATGGCTATAGTGACGTCAGCCTATGTATTGCTTGGCATTTTAACGTATAAAGACTGTAAAAGCTAAAAACCAGGCGCGGGATATACCCCTTAAGAAACAAAACTTGGAAGCCAAAACTGGATTATCACATGGAAAGACATATTCCCATGCGGGGGCGAGGTTTTGCAAAAAAAATTGTCCCGTCTTTAATATATATATATATATATATATATATATATATATATATATATATGTATATACCTAAATGCTGATGAATACGACTGTACAAATTCCGAAGAATGGAACCCATGTAAGTCGCTCAACACAGGGAGGAACGAAGGTTGTATGCAACAGTCGACTCGCAGCATTTCGTTAATGTTTCTTTATGTCTGAAGAAGGAACCATGGGAAATGAAATTCATCAGAATAATGTTAGTATCTCAAAATGGATAAAATTTTGTTAGGAAATTGATCATTTTACGTTTGAGATTTTCAGATTCTGAGCCAAAGCGTGGCTGTACAGAATATGTTTTGAGTTTCGGAACGTCAAACGACCTTGCCGAGAACGGATGCCTAGAAATGAGACGCCTCCGTATGAATGAATGGATAACCCTCAAGGGTAACTATTACTCCGAAAATGCCTCTGAAGAGATGCAATGTCAGCATCAAAGCATTGATAAGTGAAGCTGAGATGGTATGCTCAGAAGATGGCCGTCCATATGGTAACAAACTTAAATAAGTCTTAAATAAAGCGGAAAAACTCCAGCCAACCCCGGTAAACGTGGGTTTTCCGCTCGCTGAGGCATGTAGACGACCATCTTCTTTGCCGACGTCCGGAAAGGAACTTTGACTATCTGACTCATCTTCCGTCGTAAATCAAATGATTGGATGCTTACTATTTAAGAAACCTGGGAATAAAGCAATGTGAGGCATATTCTTAGAAAAAAAGAAAGCAATCGTCAACATGACTCCGATAAAAGAAATGTGAAAATTCAGCCGGAGAGGAACTTAGCCAGAATTATTCTTAATGGCACGTAAAAATGCTAGCGAACGTTTGACTCAGAGACCGACACATGCCTATCCCTTCTTTTGTCTAAAAGGCTTGTCAATGAAAAAGGAATTTGCCACAGCAAAGTCCTGAAATAAACAACGGCTATTTTCATCACCTCAGTTGCTGTTGAAAACGAGGCCCTCACATAAATGTCGACGGTCTCTTGCGAACGAATTGCTGTAAATAAACCAATTATATCGAAGCTAGCTATCAACCGTCTACCGTGTGTCAAGCCATCATTCTATACACTGCGTGTGTGTTTTTTGCCGGACGATACAACCGTTGGCTCTAAAAACGCGTCGCAATTTAATATAAGAAGTGGAAGTGAATCAGCATATATATATATATATATATATATATATATATATATATATATATATATATATAGGCGTATTTGGCACAATCCTTTCTTTGATGCATGTTTGGTAAAATATACTGCTGACTTAGCATTGACGAGCTATTTGATGCATCGTTCTAGTTTCCGGGCCTTTGACTTAGCATCATCGCTTAGATTAAAGATGGTTTGCACAAAATTACTCATATGTTCATCGCTTCTTCCATTCTAACGTTTTGAGATCCTATCTCATTTTCGGAGAAGACTAAATGGCACAAGAAATAAGTTTTGAGTTTTCAAGGATGAAAAATTGTGCACTACTGTTGGAAAATATATTTTGGTATGGAGAACGTAAATGAAGCATAACTAATTAAAGTAAGACAGAATCCCATTTTAATTCTCATACGTGTAAGAAACACTCATAATGGGAACACTACAAAGACACAATGAGAACACTATTGCCACAACCACATCAATAGTGCTCACCGTCCACCACCTAATAGTTCTAGAGTTGTACAAGGATTTGTCTGTCTGTTTAGGGGCGGAGAGAGTTCGTTAATGAATATGCTTTCCCAAATTTGAAGGCGTCTTCTGTCATTGCACTTCCGTAAAATGTCGGTGTTGTCTGTCAGTTGTTGTCGTGTCAATGTCATGTCGTGTTCGTGTCGCATGTGGTCCAGAGGTGCCCCGTCACGTAAGTGCATTGTCAGGTGTCGTGAGAGTGTCGCTGTGGTCACACCAATGTAGCGTATGGAACGAAGTTTGCAGCCTTCGATGTTGCATTGGAATTGATACACTACATTGGTGCATTTTAGTTTGATGGGTTTGTCTGGGCTGTTTCTCATAAGAAAGTTAGATATTCTTTCATTGCGATAATAAATGACGACGTCTATTTTGTGGTCGTTTTGCCTTCAGCATGTCGAGAGATAATTTCCCGTAAAGCTTTTTCGCCTTGTTTGTGGGCAGATATCATTTGATTTTGATAATACAGTTTGACGGTTGGTTGGATGTCTTGTCTTGGTTTACCGTCAAAGTGTCTTGTCATATGCCGTTGTATCTCGCTTTCAACGTCAGAATTTGAAAAAAAAACCATCGTTCACCAAGATCTGTCTGATTCTTATCGATTCCGGATGTTGTCCTGTCTAATCAGAGGAGTGCTTAAATGCTCGTCTAATGAAGAACCTTATTACGCTAATTTTGTAGCGTCGAGGACACTCACTGTCAGTGTTTAAGCATGTATATATATATATATATATATATATATATATATATATATATATATATATATATACATGCGGCAGGCGCTGTGTAGATTTGAGCTGACAGTTCAATCGCTCAGCTTCCCAAAGCTTATCCTACAAAGTCTATACAAGTCTTAGCGCGCGCGAACGTCATCATGTGAACTCGTCCCCCGATGAAACTGTGGACGGGTCGACGCGCGCTCCACTCCGTAACTTGGAACGAAGCCCCACGGCGCCGAAGAGGAGTGCGGCACGGCGCTCACCCTGGTACGACAGGTGGATCTGTTCCGGCTGGTGCTCGTTGGTTCCGTACGATGGCTCGGCGAGCTTGGCCCCAGTGCTAGAGGCCAGGGGCCTGCCCGTGCCCTGGTCTCGCGGGACGGTGGCCTGGCATGAGACAGTTACGGCCAGAAGCACCAGCCAGGCACCCAATCTGCTGTAGCAAACACATAACAGCTGTCAGTTTTTTTTTACAAACACGGCAAAATAGTTATGTAGTACATTTAAGACATTTAAGAGCGGAACGGACGTCATGATGCAAGCCGGACACTAACAAGCAAGTAAGCCAATTAAGGTCATAATACTCATTCACTTTTTCACAATTACTACACATAATACGGAAGAAAGGTTTGCTTTGGCGCACCGTGTTTACGATGCATCCATTAGTTGCCGTACTGAGTGCTCGCGACGAGGTGTCTACACTTTGCAATATTGATGCTGGCTATTTCCGCAAATAAACTTTGTCCATGACACATCATGTCAATGATACACGAAGCTCACATCAGGTGACACGCTAAATGAACACGCACTGAAGGTCCGGTGACATCAAAGAGCAGGACCGTGCCTAGCATTGCGGCACGTTAAACTTTCGCCACCATAATCTGCTGTTGAATAGGATTTGCAGGATCGGGTGGTAGAGGTCAGAGCTCACACAACCAGCACTGCTTACCGTAAGCTTTGATCCCAGAAATCCGTCCATTCAAAATGCTCGGGTTAAATCTACACACGATGGATAGACATGCAGGTGAACTCACTTGTGAAAAATGTTGAGATCGCTAGATCATGACATTCGGATCCAATAGCGTCAAACAAGGTGGCACTCCAGATCGGTGTCCCGAAGTCACCCTCAGACCTCGGTGTGCAATCCCCCCTTACCTGGATACCTCAACTAATCAAAAAGCCACTGGTGTTCATTTCATGTCAGCGACCTGATTTGATCTTTAGAAGGTCACGGTTGACAAATATCTGCGGGATTGCTTTAGTTTTTCAAATTCGATAAGGGTCTAGAATTATGCTAGGTGGTATGTCCCTAAAAGCAAAAGGTAAATCGGGGTCATCCTAGAGCAGTGATCTTCAGTTCAATGACTTTTATGAAGCTCAAAAGGCATGTTAATTACCCTCCTTGCAATCAAGATATTCGAAATTAATGTAAAATCTACCCAACCATGCAAAATATATGTTCGCTTCAGTGCTAACCTCGACCTGGCCTTCATACC